GACTGTTTATTCAGTCAGATGGTCTAACGTGTGTGGAATAGATTTGAGCTAAAAAGGAAGCTGTCTGCACAATGGCAGTTGGCAACATTGAATGTGTGAATGATGCGGAATTCATCATCATACTTTCGTTGACTCATGGACTTTGCTCTATAGCGAACAGTAAATTGAGATTTTGGACACCTAACTCCTTTTCGTTATCAATGACAGGTGTAGTGCTGCATAATAGCAATGACAAATGTATATTTTGTACTTGTTTATTCATGGCATGAGATTAATAAAGCTCGCTTTTCAATGACTTACAACTCTGTGTGGCCTCGGGTGTTTAGGAAAGGCCAAAACATAGGAAAATATACGTTTTAGAATGATATATCTGTACATGTGGACAAGGCCCAGACACACCAGCAGGTAGTGACTGTGTTTAGCTCTGAAAATGGTTTGCATTATTTTGAAATACACCAAATAATAAAATGTTCATTAACTTTTCATAAACAACCATGTAAAAAAATGTATGCCTTGTTTTCACACAACACTATTGAATTTATAATCGTACAGCCAAGATGAGCGAGTAAGTCAGTAAGCGAGTGAGTCAGTCATTCAGTCAGTATTTTTCTCCTAATTTTCACAGATCTCATTATTGCTTTTTGGATTATTCACCCATGCAAAATTATTTTCCTCAGGTGGCTGCAACCACGTCTCCCTGTCTGTCTTTTATACTCTTTTATACTCAGCCTACACTCGCTTCACTTCCTCGTGCCATTCACTGTCATTGTGAAAAGGTGTGAGTGACTCCACTGGTAGAGCAGAGCCCATTATCGTAAATAGGCCAATAAGTAACTTCACACATTGTGTCTCTAAAGCAAGCACACTCTATATGCAAAGCAGAGGCACACTGTTAAAGAAACTGGCGCCAAGTGATTATATTTGTAATTTAATTTCCTTGGTCACACAGAGATAAGAGAATAGAGCGCCTGCAGTTGGCTAGGGATGAATAGAGTGACGAGAATGGGACTACAGCTTCATTGTCTGGACTGAGATGTCCGAGACGACTCCACTTACGAACAAGGGCACCGGAGGGCAGATATGGTACACACACAGGGAGACTGAACTCAAAGACACAAAAATGTAAGTACCAGAGACAGCAGAGAGACTTTGACTATGCAAAAACACCTGCAGTCTCGAAATCAAATGGATGAATGTAAGTGCATGGATAATCAAGAAACTCTTCATTCCCTGAAGCAAGTTCTGTCTCTCTGTTTTTCTGTCTGTCTCCTCGCACTCAGTACTGCTGAGCAAACGTAATCAGCAGTGGGGTCTGGGTGGGATGTCAGTCACAAAGAGTAACGGCTCATTGCAGATTCTACAGGACGAGATGGACCTGGTCCCTGCAAAAAAAGACTACTGAAGGATACAAGGTGTATTCTTCCAACATCCTCTCTGTCTGCCTCCCTTTGTCTGCTTTTTCTGAGATTGTAGAACTGCAGATATCAAATTTCCTGACTTTTCCATTTTCAAAGAGTGTCCACTTAAACTGATGACAATGCAGTGGAGAGCACAATACTGCAGTGGTCACACTCTGATTTAGACTAAATCAGAACATTCAGGGCTATAGAGAGCTGGCGGTGACAGAAAAAAGGTACAAAGTCCATCAAAATCTGACACCACACATTGCCGCCTAGAGCTCAGGGTCAGTGTGAAACTGGTTTGTGACATTTCAAATCCTTTTAGATTTATATTCAGATTCATCATCCTAGAGAAATAGTTGTTTTCACAGCCAATACATGGAAACATATTGATATACCACAACATATAGATATAGGCAGTACAAATAATCGTCATGTATACATTCATTCAATTACCCTATCTCCCAGCAATATCATTGAGGTAGATAGTTCAGGGCTGCTTTTGCAGAAGGTTAAAAACAAATGTTGATGCAAGTTCTTCTCTATTCAAATGTTCCGAATCTTCAACTAGATTGAGGAAAAACGCTGTGTTGGTTTTGAGGTTGATCAGTTTCAATTGATATTCTGAGTGTTAGCAGTGTGAAGGCTTTGAGGTTTTGAGGTGGTGTGTGTGAGGTTGGCAAGTTTGTTTTGGTTGGAGATGTTTATCATGGAGGGTGAACAGAGCAGTAGGGGTTCAACACAACACTAACAAAAGACTTGCTGGTATCATCAATGCATGTCAGCAGTGTGTTGATCAAAACTGAGTTTATTGTCTATGATGATTCAGGGATATTTAAAGCTTCTCCACTGATCATGTCTTATAATGAATGTGGGTGGAGGTCAGTCCAGTGCAGGTTGTGTTTGATATGCTTATTACCAGTTCTCTTTTCTTGTCTACATTTAACTGCAGGTAGATGTCATTGTAATATTGTTGTGGTGTATTGACTGTAAAGGTTTTTATACAGTAGGCTTTAACAGAGTTTCTGTCAATGAGTAGTCAACGTATCAGAATATTTGAAAGATGTGGTGATGGTTAGAGGCTTGTACAGTTATTTGTGCGGATGGTGTAAAGAAAGGGCCCGAGGACACAGCCCTGAGGGGCTCCAGTGTTAGTTCAAAGGTATTGTTTTTTTTTTGTTCACAGTGTTTTGGTTAAAATAAGCTAGATATTATTTTTTTGTTCAGTGTTAACCTAGTTTTTCACTGTGACTGTAGAGTACTAGTACAAAAATGTCATGTGTAGGGTTTGCGTTGAAGAGTGACACCATTAGATTGACCAAGTTATTAACCTGACCAAGTTGGAAATGAAAATGAGTTGGGTCTGTTGCTGGTGAAATTGTGAACCCAGTGGATTACTGTAGGAGTGGAAGGATGTTGATATATAAAGTTTGTTGTTTATCTGGTGGAGTCAGATTGTGTCGAAGCAGAGAAGAAGTTGGCAAAAAGGAGGTGAAGCTGCCTGCAGATTCCAGGTGTTGGAGCTGGAGCAGTTAGTGAAAGAGGCATGCCACAGCACCATCTTTCCCTCGTTTGACCCTGAAGGCAAACTGGTAGGGTTTAGTAAGAGAGGATGGGGGAGAGCTCCATGGCACAGGGTTTAAAAAACAAAAGTGGGGATGCCAAATATTCTCTCTCCCTTTGTTCCCTATTCATTCCTCCAATCATCTTCATCCTTCAATTCTGCATATTTCCTCAGCGTTTTTTTACTTTGAACCAAACAGCATTAACCTGTCAGGAAAGTTACAAATGTTCTGAGTGAATTATGTAAACCACAGGGAAATAAAACTGCAAAAGGCATCAAGTTTTCACTTTATTTCATAATTCATCATGCTCCCACATCGAGCCAAATAAAAATTGACTTATTAAGTAGTCCGGCACATTCTGGCTCAAAATCCTCTGAAATATGCTACAGAATATTAAAGCACACTTTGTCTACCTCACAAATAATAATCAAACACAAACAAACACTTTCCTTTTTTTGGTGATTTCAATACTCGTCAAATGAGAGCAGTGTCTCCCACATTTCACTGGATTTCATTGCAAGAAGCAAAGCAAAAGATGTTACACCAGCACCACCAAAAGGTAAAGCTGAAAACAACAGCTTGCTTTCTTTACCACAAAATAAATGTTACAGCACAACAAAAATGTAATTCAGGATGCTTCACCATTTTAGCAAGCAAATGTATTTACATCTCAATGAAAACTAGCGCACAGGAGCAAAGAGAAGCACATGCATTATACTGGGGGATGGGATAGTGTCAGTGCTGTAATTAGTAGAACATGGCTGTATAATTGGTCTCTAATTGATATGAAGAGCAGTGGTTTATCCCAGGTTGTGTTCGACACATGCTGCTGTCTGCGGGCAGAAATCGCTGGCGGCCTGCCTCAATCTTGGTGCCATCTTCTGATTGATGTCTCTGTAGAAAATGCCCTTCAACAATCAGTAGCTACAATCTCTCTGTGTCTCAGGCCCCCTGTCTATCTGTGCCTAACATCTTCTACCATTCATCTGTCATTTCATCTTTTGTGCCTAAACGTCTCACTATCTTTTTCTTTCTATCTCCACATTGATTCGGCCCGTCTTTCTCTGAAGGCATTCTCAACCTTTGGTCGTTTTTTCTCGGGAAGGTGAAAGAGCAGCGTTTGTGGTGGTGGAAGGGAAAAATTGAGAGTTTGTTTATGACAGACTGGCAGCCATAAAAGACTGCATGCTTTCAAAGGCCAAGACAACACCCTCCAGGGGGGGGGGGGGGGGGGGGGGGGGGGGGGGGGGGGGAAGAATTTAGATGAAAAGGAAATACTTTTCAAAAGTACTTTTATTTCAGAAAGAAAGTGGCATACCTATTCTCTTAATTTAACAAATGAGGTTTAAAGAGGATTCTTTTAGGATTTAGCATTGAATTAAAATAACAGTCACTGCTGAGAGGCACAGCTGGACTAAAGAGGTGAACACACATTGAACTGAATAGGTTTGAAGTTTGGGTGAGGAAGCTCTTTAGAACCATTCTGCTCATGGATCGAGTGCTGATGCAAGACGACCTTCAAGGACATTCCCCTCATTTACACAGCAATTAAGCACTACCCTGTTGGTAAATTGAAAAAGAGACAAAAATCCTCTGTGGATTTAATAACAAACTCATTACCAGGGCCCAACAGGGCGGAACTGCCTTTTAATTAGAGCAACACCTGATTAACGCCCAATTAACAGAGCCAGAGCCACTTAATTCTCCCCCACTTTGGCAGGTGCAGAACATAAACATAAGCCGTCCAGCGTCAGAGTGCTTCCTCTCCTCCAGGAAATGTGTGAGAGAAAAGTAAATAACGACTTTGGAGGCAGTCTGTTGTCGGGTGGTCCACATGCTCTGCAAAGCTTGGAACTATGCTGAAAATGTGCTGGGTAGGTGATTCAAATAGCTGATATATGTAGGACTGGCTGGAAAAACCTTTGCTCCACTACACTTGCAACTCCTTGTAAACAGATGCAGGAACACTGCCAAGCTGTCAACCATCATGCTCAGCCATATGAGCTGATAATACCCGATGACAGACACACGTTAATAAACGTATCCAACTTTTATTCAGCTGTGGAGGACAGCACATGATCAGCATAGTTAAACTAATCCGTGTTGAATGTACAACACAGCATATGACCACTAATAGATAATAAAATAAGGAATCATTAAAGTGATATTTACATTTGTTGTATTAGCAAACACCTTTGTTTTACCTTTTATAAGAAAACAAAAAAAAATCTAATGTTAAACATACGTGTATTTAACATACATCAACAACTTTGCAGCTTATACAGACACATTGAAACACTAGTACTTGAAGAAAAAACAATAGTCCAGGTACAAGCTGGATGTTTTGTGAGTGTTTTGATAACATCAATCTGACACAAAAAAACAAAACAAAGCTGGATCTGATTCTGGCCTGGGGGCACACCTGGACAACAAGCACCACATACACTTTGTAGGACAACAATTGTCATCTTACATTTACCGCCCAGTTAACCAGCCAGTATTGTTGGTCCTTAGTGTGTTTTACTTTTGAGTCAATACTGGAAACAAAGTGGAGAATCACTGCTATGATCAGCTCTTGAGAAAGCTGGAGACTTTCAGGAATCCAACTTAATTCCTCTGGCAAACACTTGAACTCCCAACACAGTTAATCAATATTCAGTCTGGTTGTATAGATCAATAATAATAATGATTCCCAAACAGGCCTCTCAGCTTGATGCCAGGGCTCGATCAGGCGAGTCACGAGTGTGAATTGCTGGTTCCTCATTGAGTCTGTGTTAGTAATGTGTAACATACACATTATCAATCATTTCCTCTGTCATGTCCTAATTTCTGCACCCCACTCAAGGCTATTAGGAGCCATGTTGCTTATGCAGTTTCCAGGGTAATAACCGTCGCTGAAAGAACGTTTAGCGGCCTTAAGTTGAGAGGAAATCCGCCAGGACTCCACACATTTCTCTAAGTCTGGCAGGATGTCAGGCACAACAGCTTGCTCAGCTATAAACACTATCATCTCCACGACCAACAGCAGGACCCAACCTAAGGCCCCTAGCCAATAGGAGGAGCCGAGGCTGGAGAAGTCCTGGCGGATTTCTTCCCTGTGCTGATAGGTGAAAAAGGACCAGCTGAGGAGGAAGAAGAAACCTATAGAAAGAGGAGAAAAACGAGTTAAATCAAGTATCATTGCGGGGAAAAGAAAAAAGTCATCAAGGTCAATTATTACGTGCCTGGAGCTTTAGAAAAGAGTTTGTATGATAATGAACTGCAATTCCAGGGAAAGTTAAAAGTGTCTTTAAAACGCTGCTGCCCTGCAGGGTATGTAAATGAGGAGTACATGAAAGAATTTCTGGAGAGGTGGGTTTGACATGAACTACACAACCCAAAAGGCTATTTGGAGGTTAAATGGAAATGGGGATATGTTTTACTGCTTTACTAGGAACACATAGGTATTACAACTAATTATAAGTAGAAAAACATGGTGTGTGGCTCAGGTTTCAAATGTTCTGAGCAGTGTCATGGTGTTACCTGTAGAGGCCATGGTGAACAGCAGCAGGGTGGTGGGGTACAGGGCCTGTCCTGCCATGAGGAGAGAGCGAGTGTTGGAGTAGGAGCGCACCGTCTCAGATGTCCAGCAGAGGGCAAACACCAGACACAGAGCCCCCGTGCTTACAGCCATCAGGAAGGAGAGCACTCCAAATACTCTCTCTGCCTCCAGGGCTGTAGGACAAATGCACAGTTCAAAATGAGAAAGGTAATGATTGATCATAACTTTAATTTGCCATAATTACAATAGGTTTCTACTATGAATAGGCAGAATGTTGAAACATGTTGTAAAAGGGAAACAGCTCTCTGCATAAAAGTGAAACCAATAGGGTAAAAACAAGAGTTCATGTACTTTTAGGTAGTTTTCATGACTGCAACATTCATTCTGAAATTCTGATTTGCACAATAAAAAAAAAGAAGGAAGACATTTTACTTGACCAGCAGATTGTTTCACTTAGATGTTCTGTTACAAGGGGCATCCCCTAATCACATCTTTCATAGTTTATTTACTGACATTATTAAACCCACCATATGGCCTATGACTAATCAAATAGTAACAAGAATCATTTAATCTACTACTCCAAAGCCCTGCTGGTTTTGTGATTGATGATTTGCAAGTTGTTGATTTGGTCTCTTATCTCAATTATACTCTACTACATATATTTATATAATATTTACTTTTTTTTTTTTCTAGTGGCTAAACAGATATTTACCATTTAACCCTGAAACTTGAAAAATCCATGTACATTTGTTCTTGTGCTTGTAAAGTGAGGGGGGTTGACTTTGACCACATTATATTCAATCAAAAAGTGGGTTTGCTTAGTAACAATGTCAATGGAATACAAACTAACAAGGGATACTATTTATTATAGTTATAGTTCTGATGGTATCCTAGCTGAACAAGATTTCAGCACATTTGCCTCCAACCAAGACTTGAGAAACTTGTGGAATTCACCGCTCTACAGGAGCGAGCTCTAACATGTTTACAGCTACTGAGAAGTTCCTCTGCAACCCATGATTTCTCAAATGATCTGTATGTTGATCCTCTCGGGATACAGAGGTGTAGAGAAAAAGGTACACTGAGGATCAGTGCCTTTCCAAAACAGACAAGTATATTCCCTTATTAATCATGCTGCAATGCTACTGTATGTCAGTCACACTGGACTTAACCATGAGTGACATATTTGGACAGATGACAAATTACATTTCTTGACTAGAGTAAATGCCAAACATGTAAATGCTTGATGCTCACCGCTGAAGTCATTGCCACCTATATGATTTGTCTGGTCACTTTTAGTGTTATTCCACTCTGTCCAGAGTCCCCTCTCCTTCAGCCAGAACGGTGTCCAGACTGCGTAGCTCACACACAGGCAACCTGCCAACCCCACACTGGACTGAGAGAACCTGAAGCGACTTGTGGAGTCCCCCAGCTCCAGAAACTTCATATTTTCCCTGAAACAGACAAGACAGGAGGAAATTAAGATGTTATTATTACATTGAAGTTGAGCAACCTCCTTATTCAGTTGATGTAACTCAGCTTTAATAATGTCAATTGTAAGTGAAGCACCGTCTTACCTTTGTTGCTGTCGAAAACAGAAAGGTGTCAGGAACAAAACTGTGCAGTATACCTGTGTACATGTAAAACACTTCAGGAACTAGTTACAGGATGGTTACTGCTGTAAAAATACTGTACAAACAGAACACCCTACTTGTAGTGCTCAGGACCACAAGCCTTAACTCGCAAATCAAACCGTGCAGTGTTTACTCCGCCTCTGCTGCAATGGAAACTCCCCCAGACAGCGTCTGAATTCCCCCCGAACTCTCCACTGCGACCCACCAGCTCACACTGTACAGAAAGTGAAAGCACCAACAACTGCTATTCTATATTTGAGGAAGCAGAAGTTTGTGTATAGCTATTAGCTAACATAAAAAAGATATATATAAATAAATAAATGGATGTTAAAAGGAAGTTGAAATCCCTTGACATTTGAGTGATATTCTGTAACAGCAATATAGCATGAAGAAATGTGTTTATGTCAAATGTAGAAAGTCTGTGGGGGTGTCAGAGTGTCATCATCCGTGACAAAACATTTAAGGAAATCCCACTCGCTGTTCCTAACAGTGAGATATCAGATATCTCACATATTCGTCATACCACCCACTTCCCTTGCCTCTGTTGCAACGGAAGGGCGCCCACAGCCCACTCAAAATAAAAAGATTACAGCATATATCAAACTAAAATAACTTTCATCCAAAAAAAGATAGTATATAAAAAATAAAAAAAACATGTCATCCAAATAAAATTGATTCAACTTAAGACATACTAGTTCATTCCTTTAATCACAGATCATTAACTATAAAGATATTCATTCTGATAAAATAAAGTGCATACTGTATGACCAAATAATAAAGAGTACGATCAAAATGTTAAACAGTACAACATAACTGATTTTGGTTGATTAACATTTGGCATTCATTTAGATTTGTAAAAAGACTAACATCGTTTCAGCGTGGATTACAAATAACAAAAGGTTGTTTTTCTTTAGCAGATAAAATGTAAGGCCTCGAGTTTCAGAAGGTTTCTCCTCTTTAGTCAGGTGTCAAGCTGTTCACTGTAAACGCAGGGACTAAGGAGGAGGGTGAAGTACTGCCTCTTGAAAGCTGGCAGCTACGTTTGTGCATGTTTATCCAAAGCTTACTTCCCGGCTCTTTGCAGCAGGGCCTTGAATACATCAAGAATCTCTGGGTCCTCCCCAGCAGACAGCTCCGGAGTGTTTTTCTCCAGCCAATCGGATGAATGGATCTGGTTCCTGAGGGTGCCAATCAGAGAGTCCAGGCTGTCCGCGGGCTTTGATGCCTCGCGGTCCAGCAACACTAAATCCTCCGTGTCCAGCGGGTCTGTGTCAGGCACAGAGCTATCCTTCTCCTTGGGCTGCTCCGATGACTTGCTCTGAGGTGATGATGTTGAGTTGACAACGGCAGCCTTGTCTGAATCGGCACCGTCCTCTCTCTTTGGTTGTTGGCTCTCCTCACTGGCCGCTTTGACAGAGAGGGAATCAGGGCTGATGTTTTTTTCTTCAATTTCGCTCAAGGCCGCATTCATTCGCTTCAAACCTGACGCAAACGCAAAACATTAACAGAACAAGTCAGTTACTATTATCCAATCAATACCTAGTTCAAGACAACAAAGCAGGAGGTAAAATGGAATAACACCAACCGTAGACTGAATAAATGAAATAACAGATCAAAATCAATGTCAAGTTTAAGGCAGACAAACTTGAAAATAGATTTCAAGAGATAGTAGTAGAAGTAGTAGTAGAACCTCTATTTAGCCAGGAAAATCAATTGAGAACAAATGTATTTTCAATGATGACCTGACAGGAGGCAAAAGGCTTCCTGAGGGGATGGGGGATGGGAGGAAGAAAATAAAAAGACAGACTCCGAGCACTACAGAACCCAGGAGACAACACGATGACACAGAGCAGAGATGGCAGGCATAGCAGTTAAACATATAACATATCTAAAATATACTGCTGGAGTTCAATCAGTCTTTAAAATAATATAGAACATTCATCCATTCAATCATTCATTATTTCATGGTAATGCATACTATAGGAGAGGTCAAGACATTGGTAGTGAGCATCAGGCGAAGCAGCTGCATGTGTGAACCAGGGTGTTTGTAATAGTGTCCCTGAAGGAGCAGGGGGAGATAAAAGGTGTCCATCTTCAAGGTTTTGTGTATGATATTCCAGCTATCAGCTGCTGCAAACTGAAAGGCGGAGCGGCCAAAGGATGTATGGGCTTTGGGGATATAAAACTACATTTATAGAAGATGAACAATTAAGAGGGCATATTCAACTACAGACTCACCGAGCTGAAGGTGGTGCTGTTGGTCGGAGAAGACAATGCGGAACCAGCCGGGTGTTGAGCAGTAGAAGGCCTGACCAGCGCTCAACACCACCTTATGTTGGAGGAAACGCCTCCACAGGGAAAGCTCCTCCTCAAATGACGGCTCTCTGAGGTACTACAGAAAAGAAGAGACAAAAGTGACACACATCATATCTACAGTACAGGTCGCACGTACAATAGAGTCAGAGTAAGAACTGAAGACATCTTAGCGTGGCATTCGTCTCGGTACCTTTCTGAGGTCAGCCCAGACGTAGAGCGCAGCAGGTCGGTCCAGGTAGGGGATGCCCATACTCTGCAGCTCTCCTGTCAGGTAGCTGTGAGCGGCTTTCAGTCTGCACCTGTTCTTCGGCAGAAATTCCTCGTTGATCCACTCTGAAACACGAGAGTGACAATAGGTGGGTGTGAATTAAATGGAACAAGTCTTTGTGCAGCAGAACCCTGCTGTGCTCCTGTCATATCAAAAGGAAGCCACGAAAGCGGGTGATCTCTGGAGGAAGAATGAAAACCGCTATACAGCACATTTGAATTATTGAAAAGCTTGTTTCCAAAATGAATGGATTTAGGAATTTTAACAAACAAGCAGCTTTGTACAAGGACAGCTGATTATATAAATGTGAATTACAACTCATCTTTACCAAAAGGGGTTACACATTTGTCTTTTTTTTTTACTTTATTCACCAATTTGATAATACACATGTAGACATACAAAGAATATGGAGGCAACAGCAGATGTCATTGAATTATAAACCATCAAAAGGACACTTTTACAATAGGAAAAGAAGAGAGTGTGAAAACAATAGTGAGAGGGTGAGCATTTTGTTTATTATCTTCATAAATGTGTTTACAAAAGTTATTTTTGAACTCATTTCTATCTATATGTGTATTGAAATAAACCTTATCTCTATGGTTGCGCAGAGCTGACGGCCGACAGCTGATAAGAGTTAAGACTGGCCCAATGTTCTCTTCCATGAGAGGTCACGGTGATAGAAAGTCTCTAAACATAAGAGACAGCAATGATACTGCCTTGCTTAGAATGTGTTAACAAACAAAATGCCTTGTTTATGATAAATAGTGAGGGTGAATGGCTATGATAAAGAACCTATGGTAATATACAGTACAGGTGTGCACATAACTTTTTGAGTGAGTTACTCAGATGAGTACCAGGAGACAGCGTTTGGTACTCACCCCACATGAAGCGTGGTGTTAATAAGGGCAGTCTTCCTCACTGTCCTCCTCAGTGTCTCCTTCACTGTCCTCTATTTACACTTCTTGCATGCTAGATGATGAAGATGATGAAGATGCACCTCCCTGTCTCTTTGTAAGCCTCCAATTTGCTTTCTCCAAAACTTGTTGCCAAAACTGTGAAGTCCTTGCATTTCCTGAGGCCAAGTTGAAGGATCAAATACTAAGAAATTATCACATGACTTGAAGTCATATCTGATTTCAGAGGTGGGAAGTAACAAAGTACACTTATTCAAGTACTGTACTTAGGTACAATTTAAGATACTTGTAGTTTACTTGAGTATTTCTATTTTATGCTACTTTGTACTTCTACTCCACTACAGTTCAGAGGTAAATCATGTACTTTTCTTCCACTACATTTATTTAATACCTTTAGTTACTTTACAGATGTGGATGAATGATGTGAAAATATAATCAAGTGTTAAATCAGACTTTAGTTCCACCTGGAGTAAATCCACAAGCTACCCTGCAGTATACAAAGTCATTCAAACTAATTTTTAAACACTTTAATGATCAATAATTATAAAACATGTCATATACATTATTATGAAATGGACCAATCTGCAAAATGACTACTTTTACTGTCGCTACTTTAACTAGATTTTGATGATAATACTTTTCTAATTTTACTTGAGTAACACTTCTTCCACCTCTGTCTGATTTCAAACTCTTCCATTAACAGCCTGAGTAAGTTTGCAGGCAGCTGTGTGTTTTACTCTACTTTGTTGTAAATAAAACTGCAGCAGCTTGACCACAGAGCGTGAACGTTGTAATCAGCTGATTTTGCGCAGTTCTCCAGTGTGTGCGCGGGGCACAGAATGTGCACAGGGGAGTCTCCCACCGCAGCCAGTTGACGTAGTTTTGGTACAATTCTGTTGTACACACCGACGTTAACAGCAGCTCCGTCTGTGCACACGGCGACCAACTCTGTCGTCCAGTGATCTAAGCCTCTGCCTCCTGTGAAGCTTCACAGGTCCGCCGGTTATGTCCTGCGCGGCACGGCCAGCACCCAGTTCAATCAGTCATAGAAAGTCTGAAGATTTTAGCAGGGAGCGAAACGGCAAAGTGGCTGCTTAATGTCTTTGTTTTTTTTGGACATGTCTAATAATTTACTCCACTGAGTATTGACAAGAAACATGTGTAGGCGAAATATGTGTTTTGTTTTGATGACCTATCAGGTACGCAAAGGCGCGTTGTGACACAAGTGACGTTACGCATTTCAGATTGTTGCCGCGCATGCGTACCTGCGTACCAGTTATGTGCACCCCTGGTAATATATAATGTGACTACAATGTGTTATCGTATTGCTCAGTTTCTGTTCTCATTGGCCAAGCTCCAAAACACCTTCAACCTGGGACATAACTAGATACTTTGCTCATTAAGATATCATTCACCAAAAGCACATGTGAATCTTGGATCCATACCTCTGTCCTGAAGCAGTTGAGCTACCTGGCGCTGTGTGGTTCCAGAGATACCGTGGAAGGCGCCCAGCTGAGCCAAAGCCTCCACCAGGTCTCTGTTCTCAGTGTACAGAGTGCCTATTCTGAATCCTGCCAAAGCAAAGTCCTAGAAACGACAAGAGGTGTGAATGAAAAAAGAACACTGAGATTTCACTGTCCTGTGAGCAGGGATATCAAAGTCTCACAATGTCACACTCGCATGCAGCCCAGCACAGTACGTACCTTGGTCATCCCCCACAGTACGTGTGTCCTCTGAGGGTCGGGCAAACTAAAATAAGTGCACACCGTTAGCAGTTAAGAGGCTGTCTTCGGCCACAGTCTTTATGATTAAGGGTGTAATAGAGTAATCATGCAGAGGTTAGGTTCATGAAGTACCTGTCTATACTGAGGACACTGTGAAAGGCGACAGATTCATCAAAGACCGACAGCATGTACACTTCGTCCACGATAGCGTGGAGCTCATTTCTAAAGGGGGAAAACATGGAGAGAAAGATAACAAAAATAAATAATATAGTGGAGCATGGTTCTATACTAGTAATGATTGTTTATGACAAAAGAAAATGCAACAGAAATGTAAAATAGTCTCCTCAACATCCTGCATCAGTGTAAAAGGTTTATGGTTACAGCAGCTCAGCGTCTGTGGTGGGAATCTCTCTGGCATGATCATTTAGAAAACAATGGATGATGCAGGAGACTCCTTTGCTCATGGCTGCACTTGAAAATATGCTGATGGTAAGGAGAGGTGATAAAACTCCATCAAGAGCGCTTGATATTCCACACATGGGACAGAGCTCTCGGGCCGTAAAATAAAGAATCAACAATAGGAACTGTTTGCAGTGCTTTTGGCCATGTGCTTAAAGGAGCCAAAGGACTGCCGAGAGGATTACAGTGTTAGGCCACAGCTTGAGATAATACACACCTTTTGGCAAACTCCAAGAAGCCAATCATCTCTTCCGGGGTGTAGATCTCAGCCAGAGGATTGTGGGGGTTCATCAGGATAACAGCTCGGATGGTTAAACCCTAAAAGAGATGGGTAGTTTCTAAATACATTTAAATGTGTCTTTCATCTTTATAAATAAAGCAAATCACTGAGGAAACATAGAGTATCCAAGGTTCTTTTCTAAATACAAAGCATTGTTTGAGTGGTTTGGTGTTTCTTTAAATATTCATTAGGGGCAAGTGCTTCAAAACAAATGCAATTATGGCTTACCTCTTGTTTAGCCCTCTCTAAACCTTCTTCTAGTTTGCTCACAGTAAGTTGGAACGGCCGACTGTCTTCGCCATCACCCTAAAAACAAAAGAACACAACACAAAAACATTCAATTGGAAAACTGACGATACAACTCAGGGTTCTTACACCTTTTCCAAAGTCAAATTCAAGCACTTTTCAAGCATTTTCAAGGTGCATTTTCAAGCATCTTACAGCTGTTGTAAATTACATATTTATATACACATACTTATACTCAAATGATTATTTCCCTACCTCACATTAAATCAGATGTTCTTTATGCTATAAACAACCAAATGTGTGTTTCATAATAGCATTCTACATGAGGATGAAAAATTAAAAATGTTAGAAAAGAAAACTAAGTTTAATATTTCAAAATGAGTGACCCATCTGTACGTAGACTGGGCATCCCATATAACCTGGCTGAGCCAATATAAAACGATCAGCCAAATAACTTTTCAATATATTATTGATTACTATTTTTGAGGTACTTTTAGGCAGTAAACACAAGTCAGAGGTAAATGGTGTACTTTGACTCCACTACATGTATTTAATACCTTTAGTTACTTTACAGATGTGGATGAATGATGTGAAATATAATCAAGTGTTAAATCAGACTTTAGTTCCACCTGGAGTAAATTCACAAGCTACTCTGTAGTATACAAAGTCATTCAAACTAGCTGCACCTTTACCAGCTTTGAGAACACTTTCATGATCAATCATTATAAAACATATCATATACAATTATTAGGGATGCTCCGATCGCCAATTTTGGGGCCGATCGCCGGAATCAGTATCGACCTATGGGGATCTTCCATTTAAAGTGATGTTTAAAACTCAGTTAATGGGGCTCATTCACTGGCGCTTCCACAAACCAACCAACCAACATAATTATTACATTCAAATGAAGTACATTATTCAAGTTTACATTAACTTGGGATAATAACACGGGAGAAATGAGCGGAAGCGCTCTCTTTTCCTCTCTCCCTCTCCCTCTCCTGACAGCCTGTCAGTATCTCCTGCAGCTCACTGATCCAGTAATGAGCGACCCGACAGTGAAGAATAAATATATTTATAACTAGTTTAGCTTGTTCCAGAGGTAGATCAAATAGCTAAGTGTGTTAGGTCTAACTCTTAATGTGTGTTCTGCTCCGCTCACCGGTCCGTCACAGCGGGTGGAGCTGCAGGATTTCTGCTCCACACACACGTTGCATACCGCTATTTTATTGTCTTTTTCGGACACTTAAAATACTGCCAGACTAGTGAAGCCAATTTGGCGAGCTTGTTTTGCCGCGCACAGAGAAAAGTGTCATGTATTTTACATGCAACGATAGCCTAATCTAAAATGCTCTACTACGGCGTACCTTTCGTGTGGTGTGTGGCTCGTCAGCGCAGACTCTCGCATCGTTATTGTTGCACACTTTGTGTCATTTATGAAATCCTTATTGCACTTTGGCGGACGATACACGACTGCGCAGAGTATAGGCGAGGCCGGGTTCAGTTCAAAAAGCTGTAACTCAAAGCTAGCATAGCTAGTTACAGGGTGAAGCAATCGGCATTGGAGGCTAGCTCTAAACACTGATGCTATGCCCCCACCATGGCCGGTGGCACGGGGGGAGCTGAAGAATGTACAGTCAGGAGGAAGAAGTTCAGAGAACGGTGTATACTCGCCAGCGTGGACCCAGGTCTCCGTCAGAAACATAAAATCCAGTTCACGAGAGGTGAAGAAGTCGTTTAGCAGGAACGTTTTGTTTGCTATCGACCTAGTATTTAGCAAAGCCATGCAAAGTTTTCGCTCCGGGCTTGCCGAAGGTGTAGTGCGTCTCAGCTGACGAAGATGTGCGTGTTGAACGCCGCGCGGGCCGGGAGCAGTCAGTCGGGCAGGAGGAGCTGCCAGCGGGCCCAGCAGAGTCCGCAGCTCCGGAAAAACAGGGCGAATCCACCGATCCCTCCCATGGCGTGCAGCGGGAGGGCCATGACATCCGAGGCGTGGATAAGTCCCAGAAGAAGCTGTCAGGTATGCCTTAAGATGGATCAGTGCACCACCACGCTTTCCCCGTCGTCTAAAGCGCTTTCGGCGAGGCAGGATGCAGGGCAACCGGCGCAGGTAGGTGGGAATATTCGACAGTAGAGGGGGGGGGGGGACGATTTATGGTTGCCAGATGTAGGTTTGGGCAGCAATATCAACTCCAGTGAGGGTCTGAGGTGGAGGAGAGCTTGGCGATCGTAAACGAGCAGAGCAGAGACATTCTGACAAACATAAAACAAAAACAGGATAGCTAAAGGTAGAGAGCTGAGGGAGCGGCGAGCCGACACAGGCGCCATCTTGAATCACGTCACTCGTGACTTTGATGTGAGACACAGTATATTTAATCTATATCGTAATGTAACTACAACATATAGAACAAACATGTTGAACACCAACACATAGTAAGCAATCCAAGTAAATCCGGCTCTCTTTTCTTACCTCACAGTCGAGAGGGACATGGAAGAGTTTCACATCACTATACAATTGTAAATCTTCAGTTATAACACCGTAGAAAGGAGTAGAAATAAGAACGGCATCTGCAACATAATAAACACAAAGACCATATGAAATACGAAAACACATACATCAACACCCATATGGGTATTTTCATTGATAAATTAGAATGAAATGTACCAATTGCTATATGATAATCAAAGTTTTCATTTCATATTGTACATATTCACACAAGTGATTGATTTACCATGAACGTTTGTAGTAACTGGTCCACTTTTCAGGCTTAAAGAGCTATTTGTGTAGCTGCCTAAATAATCATGTTGAGGAAAAAGTGTTAGGGTTATATGATTATACTACAACTACCCCATGCTTTTATATTTAATACGATGATCATTTTGAATAGGCAAGGCAAGGCAAGTGTATTTATATAGCACATTTCAACACAAGGCAATTCAAAGTGCTTTACAAAAATGAAAGACATTAAGAGCATTAAGAAACATATTATGAAATGACATTTAAAAACACTCATTTAAAAGCAAAGATACATGAATAAAAGTTACAAAGGCAACAAAGACAAACTTCAGCTGCTTTAGTGGACATATTTGTATTCATTCAGTATAGATATGGAAGCAGTGTTTTTATGTCAGTGTCGTCTGAACTTACCTTGAGGGTCACAAATTACCGCAGCGATACACGAGAAGAGGGAACCACAGCCATTCATCACCACAACCTAAAAAAACACACACACACATTCACCGTGTTATGAAAACCCAATTAAGGCACAGATTAATTTGCTACATTTTCATCCACCTACTACAACAGCCATTCATTACATCTGCAAATTAAGTTGTTTAAACAAGAAAAGAGATATTTCTGTTCAGGAGCAGTACTTAGCATCTTTATAATCATTACAAGTTAATCAGATACATTAATTTAATTCACTGCCTTCATTTGAGGGAACGAATGGCTGTTATCCAAATTCTCTTCTGAAGCAGGATTATAAAACATTTTTTAAATACTTATTTGTCAGTAATTACATAAATTGCTGGACATCAGTATTAGTCATGGGAAGAGGACCTGTTACAGATGGGCTCTAAATTCCAATCTAGATGGACTGATTACACAGAGGGTCTCCAATTAGCACCCGACACCTGCCAAATGCAGGTTAATGGTTGGCTCTTTGGTGGACAGGGAAAATGCACAACATTACATTACATTACATTTCATTTAGCTGACGCTTTTATCCAAAGCGACTTACAATTACCAATTACAAGGACATTCTCCCTGGAGTAACTAAGGGCTAAGTGCCTTACTCAAGGGCAGACTAGTGGTGGTGTTCCTGGCGGGATTTGAACTCACAACCTTCCGATCTTCAGCCCACCTCACTATCCATTAGATCACCACTATCCTCGGAACAGAAAGACATGTTGTTTAAGTTGCTCATAATGGCTAGGACTGTATAAAAGCTGCACTATTGGCCTTAGAACTTTATTCGTTTTGATTTAAAGTTGAAGTTGTCAATTGAAGTCTGTATAAATGAAAATATATTGATAGTATATTATTTGCATGTTTGAGCATGCATGTCAACAGTACCATTCCACCCTCCAATCCCGAAAAAGAGGGCTCCCAGAAAGCCAAGGTGTAAAGCCAACACTGATATTCACTGTGAATGTAATGCTTTCAGTTTAGATACAACTAACATTAAGGACATACTAAGTTTTCCTTAGTTTTGCACCTAGTTTACTGCAGCCTGCCACTGTGCCAGACAGTGACATTTTTTTATTTCAGACCCTGATTAAGAACTACAAAAGGAAAAAGGAGTATTTTACAGCCTGCTCTCGGATAGCTTCATCGTGATTAATTTGACCAAACTAACTCAAAAGGTAGTGCCCAGTAACCTTTAGTCCAGTTGCCCAATTAAAAGGCTGCAAGTTAATAGGTGTGCTGAGCTCTAGTTACTTTATTTCCCCTTAAAAAAAAAAAAGTTTCCTTTAAAAAGTAAGGAGATCACAATGTTAAAGAATAATTAATGAATAATTCTACATCTTATTTTAATTGCTGGTTTAGAAGCACATTATAGTTAAAAGTAACATGTACGTTAGAGTCAAAAGTGCAAGTCATTCTGAAAATAATTTCCTTACAAATGTTTAATTATTAATGAATTAATGTATATGTATGTTGTAATGCACTAAGTATTAGTGCTCAGTAGTTTAAACTCTTGAGATGATTCCTGTATTTTGCTTTTATACAATATGTTGCGTGTACAATGATATGCAAATGTGGCAACATCTAGTCATAATTTACATGTTGCAAATATTTCCTTGTCATATCATGGAAATATTTCCATCCGTCATATTGTGGGGGAAGTGTAAATGCTTGTGTTTTACAGACTGTTCAAATTACTTGTGTTACACTCCAGCAGCAAAAGCAATAATCTTCACTCACGTTGTCAGCCTTCAGTGGGTTTGGAGAACTGCAGTAGTGAGTAAGGAACTTTGCGACCTCCTCTCTTAGGCTGAAAGGGAGAGAAATGGAGAGGTTAGAAGAGGGTTTTACTTTAAAAGGTCTTGTTAAAATGAAACTTTATGGCAGTCCTCTCATCTGAAGCGAAAATAAATGTCCAATTACTTACAATGCATGTCCCCTCCAGTCTGAATACTGCAACAATGATGGGTCAATGTGTAGCATTTCAGGCCTGGTCAGCTGTAGCAGAAAGGAAAATGAAACTCATTTGTGAATCCACGGAAAAAATCATTTAAATTACCAGGATGGGGTTGCACATTAATCTTACCCGCGTCAGAAGAAGATCATTGCATAGTTTGTTCTCACTGGTACCCATGTTGATTATACCCTGGAAGCGACAAAAGTGTTTAAGTGTCATCTTTTGCGTCATCAGAGCTGTCTGACAGCAGCAAAGCCAATTTATTCATGACCCAGACTCACATCGGGGTTATCTCTGTCGTGGTGTTTGTCCAATCCATATTGAGCAAACCCCTGCTGGAGGATGCCCTGATGCTGTCGGATCATGTTACCACGGTTGGACAGGTATAGGCTAGAGCCAAGAGTTCCTGCTCCTCTCTCTATTGCCAAAACATTCTGGGACATTTTGCAGGGCTTGACAGATGTAGGCGGTATTGACTTTATCATTTCCTGAGTGGAAGCAGCCAGCGTCGTGGGAGCTTCTGAAGGCAGCTGAGATAAAGATGATGAGACAGAAGGGGCGGTTGTGGTCACCAGTAAGGCTGACAGATGAGGTAGGGGTGAGCAGGAGGGGTCATTCGGTGTTGTCGCAGCGGTGGGAGCGGCCTGTCTGACAGCAACCAATGCCCCTGTGAGCATGCTGAACAGGCGGAGCTCGTGCTGGCGCTCCTGTTCTGCCCTCTTCTCCTCCCGCTGTTCTCTGCGCTCCTCGGCTTGCAGCTCTCTATCCAGACGCGCTTCCTCCAGGGTGAGAAGGCGCTCCTCTGCTGACTGCTGCCAGGTCAGGAAGTTGGCCAAGGCCTTATCCAGGCTCCTTTGACCGCTGCATCTAGCACCCCCAAGGCCCCATGATGATTTGCCATAAAGGCGACGCTTCCTCTGTCTCACAGAAGATGGGGTATGAGGGCCATTTTGACTGGGCAGCTCAGAAGTGTCCCTTGGCGCATGATCACCACCAACAGCCTGGGTGGCAGGACCGGCAGTGTTCAGGTCGCTAAAACCTGCAGACATGAACAAAATATGTTTTAATTACACGTATAACCTGATGGTAATGACATATTAGATCCAGCACCAGACACTTTTTAATGCTGCTATGGACAGTCTTGCACTAATGTACATTTCTCAAAGATATTGAAGTGACTGTTGTTTTTTATATATTGATTGTTGTGCTTTTATGTATTTCTTAATGTGTGCATATGTATAAATGTGTCTGTTGATTGTCGTATATATATATACATATTTTTATATATATTTGTTTTTGTATTCGGGATTGTGGGATCTCTCTGTCTGTACACACAAACTGAAAGATTGACAATAAAGTTGACTTTGATATGATATGATATAGTTATTATATACATAGTCTTAGTAATTATAATATCTGAAATGACTACCTGAGGGGGAGATCCTTGCATTTGTGGAGCTCTCCCCTCGGCCCGGAGAGTCCTCTTGCCCCAGTAGAGACTGCCCATCAGTTTCCTGTTCATCTCCTGACCCATAGTACATGTCAGGGGGGGCAACACCTGAATTCAGCATGCTCTCCTCCACATCTTCACATTTAATGTCCAACGGATCTCCTGGTTTTGGGGGATGACCAAACAGAAACCCCCCTGAGGAAGAAGACCCAAAGGTGACTGTTGGGACCCCCTGCAGGAATGAGTCAGACCCACCCGGGCTTTGAAACACATGTTGGGCTATGACAGCTCCCCCCAAGGAGGAGTAGGTAATAGCTGGTCGGTTCGCCAGCACCCTATCCATCACATCATAAAACTTCCATGACCTTGTTTTGTGATTATCTTTAATGCGACGGTACTCCAGCTTCATCTTTTTTATCTTTTCCCTGCACTGGTCCCCGGTACGATAGATGCCCTTTTCCCGCAGAATGTTGGCTATGCGGTCAAATACACGCTGGTTTCGCAGGGAGCTCTCCAGTTCAATCTGCACAGACTCATCTGACCACAGCTGCAGCAGCTCCACTATCTCCGGGTCGGTCCAGTTGCTGCCTCGCTCGTGCCTCCTCCCTCGAAAGTCCATGCTCCAAGTTACAGGACGTACTCTGCAACACAAACCCATGGGGAAATATAAGCAGCTTACCTCTGTCAATACCACTTCAGGAATACCTAGACAGTGACATACCTAGAAAGTGGTAAACAACATTTATATACACCGTGTTTAACCTCATGTGGTGCCTCACCGTGAATAATACGTGCAGCTGTTCGGAACCAGATTGTTATGAAACTGCCGCCCCGATGCAGTGTCATCCACATAAGTCGCCTTATGTCCCGGGTGGTTAACCCGGTTTGGACTGGTTTGGATTGCTAAAGCTTTATATAGTCGGTTCTAAGATGTGTAATGCATTATACGGAGAAAATATGTAACAAGTTGGCGAGAGGGGGGAATAGACCGAACAAAGATATGTACATCCGGGTTGACGGCACATGCGTGCTGTCCTTATTCCGGGATAACTTTGTTCCGTGCTAAAGCGGGGCTTCTGAAAACGGTCTGGATTCACTTGTACCAGGCTGTTACGGGTAGACACAGCAGAGTCAGACTGAGAGCTTTCTGCTATGGCCCCCTCTACCGTACGGTGTGCTTTCAAGTAATGAGTGTAAGTCAAATACTTACCCAGAAGATGGCAGCCACGCACAGCAGTACGACTCAGACGTTTGTGAAAACAAGGATGTGTGTTTTGTATACAAGCGTAGCCCAGAAATAATTTGTAACGATGAAACAACAATGAAAGAGCTTGAATTCGAGGCAAACAGCCATAGGGGAGAGTGGGGTAAGTTGAGCCATTTTTTAGTTATGCTGTCCTCTAAGCAAGGAGAAATGACACATAGTAAAAATGAAAGCACACACCTATAATTCAGGATGTCTCTTATCAATGGCAATGATAAGAATTAATATTTGATCAAGGGCAGTGAAAATATGACTTCTAAAAAAAAAAGTCTTGTGGCTCAACTTGAACCACTGTTCAAACTTGGGCATACCTGTTCAAACCTGGGCATACCTACAAAAAATCTTAAAGGTAACTTTAAACAATAAATAACAAACCAAATACAAGTTTTTCAAATATTGTTTATATAAATTTCGATTGAATTGATTGATTTGTTTTTAACATGTTAATACAAAGGAAAAGTAATCATACAAATGGTGATACAATTTCATACATCTTACCAATCAAACACAGGGTAAATTCAACTTTAAATGTAGCCTACAATGAGCTCTTATTATCAACTTGGCCTACTTTCATTAATTTCTCCATTGAAAAACTGGCTCAACTTACCCCAAGGCCCATGGTTCACTTTACCCCATAGCCACCATTTTAGAAAAAATAGCCTAGCATTAAAATTCAGAGTCATCTTTAGCTTAATGACTCACATGGTTTAATACGCTGCCAACACATCAACATATACAATATATTTGTTTAAACCTGGATACATTTTTTTTGACATGACAGCCGATATAGCTGACATCTAGAAAATGTACTTTGACAAGCAAAAAACGTTTTTTTGTAAAAATGTTTACTTACCAGACCACAATGAGCAACTCTCTTTCACAGGCAATGATAAATGGGAGAAGCTTGCATAACTTCTGGTCACGTGATTACAACTACAAACCACCATGTAACCAGGCGTTGCCTGGTTACATGGGGTGGTTCAACTTACCCACTGGCTCAACTTACCCCCTTCTCCCCTCATTGTCACACACAAAAACGTCAAGTAGAAAAGCATTCATCGTCCAGTTAAGAATGAAAGCCTTAATCAAATCTATATCGTGAAATATAAGTCACTTGTTTAAATAAATCATTTGTAGGCCTACTCTAATGTTCGGGATTTCATGAAAATATTATACGGCAAATTAATTTTATTCCAGCTGCTTAAGAAGATGAACCGATAATATCTAATAACAAATCGGATTAACGTATCCTTGGGTCAGTTAATTGCTGTTTATTGCCCTAAAGAAACAGAAGCCGCCCGTTTGAACGACCACGGTGATGCAAATCAAACACACCTCAGTCCAGTCGGCTCAAAACGTGACGTATTTCCTGGAGAATCTTGGTTTGTGGCAGTTTGTTGTCATCTTCATCCAGTAGTGAACCGTTATAGTATTGGCATGTAGCCCCTTATTCTCAATTTTGTATCGATTCGTGTATTTACTTTTTCGTGTGTGAAGTAATGCCAACATAACGAAACTCTAGCCAGCAGACCGAGCCATTTAAAAGTACCCTTTAAAGAAAATAACTGGGTGCGACCGCTGAAGTTAACTGTCAAAATATCGGCAAGTTGTTGGCGGATAGGAGGCGAGACTGGAGAGTTGATTTCAGCACTTTTGGAGGAAGATGGGTGTGTTCGGCTTGCAATATTATCTATCGCCTGGACCAAGTAGAGGAAGTGCAGCCTCAGGTTGGATGTAAAGTTGAAAGTGAAGCCTCGGGAGAAGAGGAGTCTCCGCCCGGAGGAAGAAGGAGAAGATAATGAGGAGACATGACGTCTGGCTCCTCATTGGCATCTTAGGTTTTTTTTAAAGCCACGAGTTACATGTGTTCAAAGCAGGGAGGGGAACTGTGGCAGAGTGGGTGGGAACAATGGGAGTATTTGCGGAGAGCATGAAGGCTATTTTAGCATAAAGTCTCTGCCAGCGCTGCCGATAGCTCTGCTCAGTCTTCCCAGTCAGGTAGACCCTTCCCCAGTGAGGGTTACAGGCTTTCTTTATCCAGTAAAGGTGGACCTCTTTTGTTGAAGGAGACATGATTTGAGCAGCTTCGGTCCGCTTCATCTCCGAAGTTTATTGCTGGTAAGATTACGGCATGTGTGTTGTAACTCTTGTATTTAGTGAGTATTTTCCTGTCTTGAATGTGAATTTAAATTCATCATCTGCTTTATTTTCTGTCTCTCTTGTGCACACACTCTCTCGTTTGCCTTGTCTCTGTTACTTATTCACCCTAGAACCTTAATAGGCTTAATCACCCATCAAGTGCAACAAAATGCTGTAATACCTTCCACTTAGTTCTGCTTCTCAGGCAAGGCAGATATGTTTGGACTATGCACAATTCCCCTGCACACTGGCATTAGATATTTGTGCCTATTTTAAGAAAAGCAAAGTGTGCTCAGTTTGAATCAGCACGCTGAAAAACTAAACACAAAGTGATCTAATGCATCCTATCTTCTACTGGCCCCCTGGTTATCCTTGTTAATTTGTTTTTGTTGTTAATTGAAAGTGCACGTTGTACTGGATCTACAAGGGAGAAGTCAAGGTCACCAGCAATTGAAGCAAACTGCACAGCTCCAAGCTTCATTCTCAATTGGATTACACCACCTCACCGCATCAAAGATTAGGCTACCCTATTAAACTAATCTTTTTGTCTGTCTCTGTCAGGCATACAGATGGCCCAGGCAAGTTAGGAGAATCAAGGTATTAGAAGAGTTTGTCATGCATCATATTTTTGTTGCTAGAGGAAGCTGGACTTAGTAATTCAGATAAACACTCAGACACCAACTCTCCAGCTCTGTTGATCCTCCACCGGCATTGACTTCAACAATACAGGTAATCCCTCAGTATTGAGCTCTTACAAGCACAGATTTTTACAAGAAGCATACAACAGGAATTCAGTGGAGGAAAAAGAGTTATGAATACCAAGTTTTCAACAATATAGCTCATCTATAACCTATGCCAAAGTGTTGTAAACGAGAGGACGTTTGACACACGGAACAAAGATTGCCTGTTAAAAATTGAGTTGGATCTCTCTGTGGGACTTCACATCACTTACAGAATTTATTCTTTCTCCTGGACACATTGCTGCTGCTGCCCTAGACAACATTTTATCAGGGTCTTCCATCTCCGTAGCCTGTAAGCAGCGAAGATGGATCATGCTTTAGTGGTGGTACTCTGTCACGGTGTTGTCGCTCACTTCAAAGTGTTCTCAGATGATCGCCATACAGCTCACTTCCAGCTGTGTACTGCTGTCCTGACAGAGCACAACATGCAATGCTTCTGGTATTCCAATCACACTCTTAAACTTTGAGCAATGTTCCCTCTCAGCAGAGGATGCCTGGCTGTCAGTGGTACTTCACAAATGGTGCAGTTCTCTCCTGTGCCTTGGTTTTATGTGAGAGGGCATCCCAGAGTACATGGTGGGTGTAGATCTGGCTGGTGGGCAGCTTGAAACAAAGCTGGAGGGCTGCATATGGTCTGTCACAGCTTTGTGTGCTTGTCATTACAAATGGAAATCGTCTGTTCACCCCTTTTATAAATTGAGTAGATGTGTTATGCCGTCACATTATGTTTATTGCGTCTCTATTGAGTGATACTAATGTGGAAGCATTTACTAGATTGCATGCTTTATGTTTTACACAACACATTTTCAAGATTGTACATGTTCATGTAACTCTAGGCTTCTGCTGCTGTACACGAGGCAGTTTTTCTGGTGCAGCTAGGGGTCAAGTGTATTCCCTGGTCATACACATTTTCCAGATGGGTAAGAAAATCTAATTGGAAATTTTCCCCAGCGCAAGACCCATTTTTTTTCCCTCTCTCTCTCTGCACTACCAGCACTTTATAAGAGGTAGATCTAGATGTGAGCTATGATAAAATCTAATAATATGGATGAATTGGTGACATTAACCGTTTAACCATTGGTATTTTAATCAGCAGTGGAAATAAAGCCAAGTCTAAGTCATATACATTCATCACTTTATTCAGCTACAACTGACCAACACTTCTAAGTTAATACCAAGATGGATGTTGGAGAATGTTAAAGGAGCTGGCTAATGAACAATTTATTTGGCAAGGATCCCTCAAATGTATTTAAAAAAAACATTGTGACAAAAATGTTTCATGAGGGCAGAAATGTAATGGTTGAGCAATAAGCTTTATTATCTAAGAAGGCAGTAACAGTAAATATACAATAAAGTTGATGAACAGTACACTTGAAATGTAATTATGACATTATTTTTACATTGCTGGCAAACATAAATTCCAAATATGCCACAACTGCGAGTCAATTTTAATCTGTGATAACTATAGAACAGTAATAAACCTCCTGCTGATGTGTGTGTGAGTGTGCGTGTGTGTGGGGCTGTAGCTGTAGGTCACAATGCAGTATTGTATCGTACAGCTATTAAACATCAGCAAAGGTCAACATATTGATAACAAAATTGGCAAAATACTAATCTAGTATTAATGTCATCATAATTATACCACTTTACACCAAAATTCCCCCCAGATCTTGTTAAATTTATTTTCATGCAATCCTTTTTCAACCGTCTGGCTCACAGCAGCAGATCTGAAAGGCCAGTGTTCCTCAAAGCTGCAAGTCTGTAGATTAATATCAAGCAGCGCTCTACACTGCTGGATATTCTGTTGCCCACAGGCTCAAATGACGATATCAAGAAGACAATAATGAATGCACAGACTTGATGCATTTCTGATTCGTATCTTGCTTTCATCATGGTGCCGTTGAGTAGTGAGGGGGCTTCACAGGACAGGAATGACTGTTGTGAGTTTCCTCATCACAGTGGCGTTCTGTTGGTCACTGAGCAGCTTCACGAGGGCTGTTGGCGGTGTAGTGCGCTCCTCAAGTGTGCCTCAGATGCAGAGGCGAAGA